CGCAACTGGTGAGAAGGTCTCATCATAGTCAACTCCGGGAGTTAGATTAAAGCCCTTCGCAACCAATCACACCTTATATGTGTGTACGTTTCCATCCACGTCGGTCTTCTTCTTGAAGATCCATTTGCACCCAACGGTCTTACATCTGGGCACATTATCAACCAAATTCCAAACTTGGTTGTCATACATGGATTGGATATCGTTGTCCATTGCCTCTTTCCATTTCGCAGACTCCGGGCCTGCCATGGCTTCCTTATAGCTATTAGATTCATCTAGATTTATTAGTGTACCATCACTAATATATTTGTTCCCTTCGGTAGTAATATGAAAACCATAAAACTGGGGTTGAACTCTAACTCTTTCGGAATCTAAGAGGTAAGGGCTCGTCAATCGGTTCAACCGGAGTTTCCTCCTCGGGTTGAGTGCCAGCGGTAGAGGGTCCTTCATCTATCGACTCTTCAATCTCTTCAAGCTCGATTTGCCTCCCACTATCTTCTTGGCTTATGAGTTCTCTCTCTCTCGGAAAAATCCTCTCCTTGAAACAAAGACAACATTGTCTTTCGGTCTATAGAAGAGATATCCAAAGGATTTCTGTGGGTAGCCAATGAAAATACATCGCTCACTACGAGGTTCGAGCTTGTCGTGAGTATCTCGTCTTACGAAAGCCTCGCAACCCCAAACCTTGATATGTGCTAACGAGGGAGCTTTCCCTGTCCACATCTCGTGAGGTGTTTTGGCAACCTTCTTAGTAGGGACTCGGTTAAGGATATGGGCGACAGTCTCTAAGGCATACCCCCAGAATGAGATAGATAGTGAAGCACGACTCATCATAGAGCGGACCATGTCTAACAAGGTTCGATTAAGCCTTTCTGCCACACCATTCAATTGTGGTGTCCTAGGTGGCGTTAATTGTGAAACTATTCCACACTCTTTTAGATAGTCGTGGAATTCAAGACTTAGGTACTCTCCTCCTCGATCGGATCGAAGCATCTTGATTTTCCTGCCCAATTGATTCTCCACTTCATTCTTGAACTCTTTGAACTTTTCAAATGTTTCTGACTTTTGTTTGATTAAGTAGATATACCCATATCAACTATAGTCATCGGTAAAAATCACATAGAAGCGGTTCCCATCCTTTGTGGTTGATCTAAACGGTCCACATACATCGGTATGTATGAGGTCCAATAGACCCTCACCCCTTTCACATGTACTAGTGAAGGGTGACTTGGTCATCTTTACAAGTAAACAAGATTCGCACGTGTCATCTTCCCTAAGGTCGAATGACTCCAACACTCCATCCTTTTGGAGTTGGGCTATGCGCTTCTTGTTGATATGTCCAAGACGACAATGCCACAAGGATGCTCTATCCATACTATTGGAAGAATCCATGCATAAAACATCATTTCCTAGGTTATCTACAATCATAACAGTTTCATAAATTCCATTACATGGTATTGCTTCAAAATATAAGACACCATTTAGATAAGCACAAATAGAACCATTCTCATTATTAAAAGAAAATCTAAATCCTTGTCTAAACAAACCATGAAATGAAATGATGTTTCTTGCCATTTCTGGAGAATAGCAACAATTGTTCAAATCTAAACTTAAACCATTCCTAAGCACTAGAGAATACACTCCAATCTTGGTCACAAGCGACAATCTTCTGTTCCCCATGATTAGATTTATTCTTCCATGATCCACATTCCTATTTCTTCTTAGTCCCTGCAATTCAGAACAAATGTGGTAACCACAATCGGTATCGAGGACCCAAGAAATAGCGTAAGATGAATCATTAGATTTAATTGTATAAATACCTGCGAAAGACGGCTTGATCTTTCCTTCCTTGATAGCTTGCAGGTACTCTGGGCAACTTCTCTTCCAATGCCCTATTTTGTGGCAATGGTGGCACTCTGCCTCCTTTGGGTTAGGGTTAGGCTTAGCGGGATCAACTTTGGTCCCACTAGAGGAGGAACCATCTCAGGACTTTCCCTTGCGGTGGCTCTTAGACGGAGCCTTCCTCTTCTTGCCTTTTCCTTGCCCAATGGCCAAAACAGGAGCAGCGGGTGGATTGGGAGTGGGTGCAACAGACTTGTCCTTGAGGTTGCTCTCAGCAACCCTAAGGAGACCTTGGAGCTTACTTAGGGTGATCTCTTCTTTGTTCATGTGGTAGGTCATCCTAAATTGGTTGTACCATGGAGCCAAGGAGTGAAGCACCATGTCGATTGCCAAGTCTTCACGAAAGTCAACATTCAACTTGCGAAGACAATCGACATACCTTTGCATCTTTTGCAGGTGCACGGTTAGAGATTCACCATGACCCATTTTAGCAGAGATCATGTTAGTGAAGATTTCATAACGTTCCTGCCTCGCGTTTTCGTGGTAGCTCTCCAACATGTCTTGGTGCATTTCGTACGAATACATTTCCTCATAGGACTTTTGGAATTCGGAGTTCATAGTGGCTATCATGATGCAATGTACCTTCGTTGCATCATGCTCATGAGTTTCAAAAGCGGTGATTTCAGCCAGAATAGCGATTTCTGGATTGATCTTCTCGAGCTTCTCATCGAGGACATACTCCTTGTCCTCGTAGCGAGCAATCGTGCGAATGTATCTTATCCATTCGCTAAAGTTCATTCCATCGAAAGTCACCTTTTGGAAAAGGCTCATCAATGTGAATGAGCTAGCAACAGCGTTGTTCGCGTTCGACATCTACAAATAGAAAGGACAAAGATAGATTAGAATTTGAATCCCTAATAATCACCCAATAAGAAAATTAGGGCTAGGATCCAACAACAATATTTACATATTTGAAAAGGGATGCCGTAATCTAACATGCAAACAATTTGAAGGTAAGTGAATGACGATTCATTAATTCTCCACCATGAAACATAACTTTAAGTCTAAATGTATTGAGAATTCCTAAGTTTAGATGAGATTCATTGAAAATTTTCAATGGCATGTTTAAATCTCGATATGTCCCTCTCATTTGTGACTGGGATACCGAGGATTACAAAGTGGGTGTGAATTACCATGCAAATTCACATGGTGCCTTCATTGTAACAATCACCTATTCGATGTGCCGGTAAACCACACACGCTCCATCGAAGTATGATAAACAATGAATCACCCTTTGCCACCTTTGCTTAGAACCAATTAGTGTGCCGGTAAACCACACACGCTCCACTAGCTTCTTAGCAAGGGTGCAAAGTGTAATTTCATGGGATTGCATCAATTCACTTTTCCTAAAGTAACTAGGATTGAGAATTTTGAAAAACATGTAGTTACTTTGTATTTCATATCATACTTTTAATGAGGAGATGAGGTTGCCCTATCCTACTCGTTTGGCTAACGACCCTCCACCGATCAAGCAAGCGATGGGTGTGAGTGTACACCTATTAAGCGCCATTTTATAGGCAGCAACCTTATACCCACCTTATAGACCGACTTCGTGAATGAGGCCTACTAACGGTAAGACTAGCATTTTAATTATACATATATATGTATATATATATACACTACTAGAAAAACAGCCTTTTACGACGCTCATTGCGCGTCGTAAAAGGCTCAGACGACGCGCAAATGCGCGTCAAGGAAGGCCCTGTCATAAAGAGAGACGACGCGCTTTTGCGCGTCATCTATAGACGACGCTCATTTACGACGCGCGTTTACGACACGCAATGTGTATCAAGGAAGGCCCTGTCATAAAGTAAGACGACCCGCATTCGCGTGTCATAACCTTACGATGCGCGTGTTAATGACACACAATGCGTATCAAGAAAGCCCCTGTCAAGAAAGGCCATGTCATAAATGAAGATGACACACATTTTTGCGTATCATAATTTTAAATGTTTAAAAAAAATATATTATTTATAGATTTTAAATTAAATTTTCATTTAATGTATCATAACAGAAATAAAATACCATATACAAAAAATACAATCCACTACATAATATAAAATAAAATTTCATACACAAAAGATAAAATAAATTGCACAAATTATAAAATGTCATACAAATAATCATTCAAATGTTAAACAAAAATAATACATTGCTAACATGGGTTATATATTCCTATAAAACTATCAAATAATCATCCAACTCTATTTCTTACTGGAATATGTGTGTAATTGTCTCCTTCATCAGCCTCCATGTCCCAAGTCGGATCTACCTTCCTTATCTATATGTATAACAAAGACACATAAATATATTGTGAATTTGTGGTCTGATCTGAAATAAGAATCTTGATTGTTGGTTGTACCTTGTGCTTAATTTCAGCATCTTCAATCCTTCTACACAGATTTCACTGAAACAAGAGAATGAAATCTTTTTTGAAAACACAGCTACACCATTCTGTTGGGAACAACTAAGATGATGCAATAATAAAAAAACATGATATTAAGTCCATTTGATAGGAACTAATATAAACCAAATTCTAACATGATTATATGTAATATATACATGGAAAAGAACGAAAAAACTTAATACCTGATATCTGAAACTAAAATATAGGTTTTAAATGCAACAGTGAAAGAAAATGGTTTTCGATATGTGTTTGTATTTCTGACACGAGATGTTAACAGCAAGCTTGCTACATTGCTATTAAGGGACATTTTCGGCAATGTAATGCTATACAAACTAAAAAGATATACACAAATATGATAAACATCAAATTCCAACTAAGTAGAGTTGCATCTTGCCTTTCATAATTCTTTAAGACTAATGAAAACCCTGCGCCGATAATTCTTGTGACCTGATCAAATAAAAGTCAAAAAACTAATATACAAATCTAATTATTAGAAGAATCAATGTTCGTTGCAGATAATACCTCAGGCTAATAGACAATCCTTGATCCTATGAACTAGAGAGTATATCATCACAATTTCATCTAACATATCATGTCATGTAATGTATTTTTTGTCAGTATATTTTCACATAGAAAAAAAAGTGAAATAAATAAAAATTGTAAGTACCAATAATGATGTATGATTTCCAGGGAGCTAGAGCTTGTAGACTATCTCGTATTGAAATATGAAGAACCTCAAGCACAATATAGTTTCAAGTACACTCCCTCTGATTTTCTGGATATGTGTCTGTTCATCCTGCCAAGATTCCCAACTATTGTCTCCTTTCACTCCAACTCCACCTTTATACATAAGCCAATTAATCCAATCATCAAAATCTTCCACAGCTCTGTTGACATCACATCCGAATCATCATATCTTATAATATAGATTCATGAATTTGGAAAAAGAAAATAAAATAATTGGAAGCATACTTCTGCCATTCGAAGCTAGATGGGTTGAAGATATATGGTATAAACAACCATTTTCCTACTTATTATCCAATCCCAACTCCCAAATATAAGCACTAGACCCCAATAAAAGCAACAGGGTCTCACTTGACCACCTCCACTGTCCCACATAATAGATCCCTTTCATTAAATTAATTATTAATACAAAACAAGAAACGCAAACCAGTTAATCAGTCACATACATAATCTCAATCAATAATACATAACAAATTTGTTTTTCATTTTTCCCTAAAAGCTCAATCAGGTGGAGGGAGGGGGGCTATAGTTTGATCAATATTTTTGTCTAAATTATTTTTTCCTATATACAAAAAACTATAGCTCTCAAATATTACACGACACTGTGTGTGGTTGGGTGGCTGACGTCAGTACACAACCTCCCTCCAATGACCAATGACTACTGACCCTTGCCTTTCTTTTTATCGTATCATGTTCATGTCCATGTCCAATTCAAAAAATTAAATAAAAAGGAATTGAGAGAGAGAGAGAGAGAGGATAGGTACCTGTAATATTAATTCATCAGGGACATGGGGAAGGACTTCACGAACGGTTTCAACCATGGCGATTATGTTTGACAAGTCAACATCCGGGACAAGTGGAGTTGGCATGGTTCTCATAAGGGACCCACCCCCACCCCGAGTAGTGTGTCCTCCTTGGTGTCTTACAATACTTGTGAAAGGATTTGGATTGTTTGAAGAAGAAGTGGATGTAGATGTGCTGGCCTGAGAAGGATTTACATGCCACAGGTTCCAAGCAGCATCTTCAAGGGCAGTTTGGGCATACGTTTCACCAATAGCTGTCAGGTGTCTCATCATCATCTAGACTCTTCCTAAACCCACCGATCTCGATGGACCCCCTCCCAATCAAATCCCAACCAACCTGAATCCGCCTCTAACCTCCTATCCCCCCTCTCCCCCCCCAAAAAAAAAATCAAAAGGTTTAGTTAACACTCTTCCACTCCCACAGTGAACCTGCACACATCCATTCCCATAATTTGGTTAACAAGTCAATGTGACTCAACAGAACAGAATGATAAAAATCAGAGTCTTGCATGCTGCAGACATATCTAAAAGTTTCGATATTTTGGAATTTGGAATTTATGAAAGCATATAAGCCCATTAACATCTTAGAAATATAATGTCATCTCAGCGATTAAACAAAAGTATTTTGACTTCTGTCATATTATTAATTTTTATATTTCTATTTGGCAAAAAACTTTTATCAAAGAACCTTTTCAATGGTGAACCTTTTATAAAGCTTTTCTCAAAAGTTAATCCAATTATCTTTTTATCTATCTTAAATGTTCTATTAAATCCACTCGTACAATTTATAATTTTACCAACATATGTAGTATTTTCGGAGAAAAAAACCCTTACATGAAATTATTATTAAAATTTAAAAAAAAAACATTATTCAACATTATAATGAAAAAACGATAAAAGATTATGTAACTGCATAATTTTTATTTTGTTTATTAAATAAATTAATTAACTAAATACAAAGCCTAAAATAAATCTAATATCTAAATATAGTTGGTGTATAAATAAAGAGCTAGAAAATGTAAATATCAAATGTGACAGAGCTTAAAAGACAAATAAAAGGTTAGGAAAAATAAGTGTTTAGTCTTCTTCTCCAATGGTAAGCTTTTTCAAATAGTAAAAAGCTTTAAAAAAAACTATCATTGGAGATGATCTCATAAAAAAACATAAAGAAAATTGAAGAGAAAAAACAAAAACTGGATAGAGAGAAGAGCTTAATTAGAAGGATCTTAAACCAAAGTTAAAAAAATTAATAATCTGATCTTTAATAAAAGTAAAACAGCTATGCCTATCTATGTTAATTTATAAAGTTGACATTTAGTATGATTCATATGGTTTATTAGTATGATTCATATGGTTTATTTAGTCTAGTAAAGAAAGACTTTGTGTATACAACACTTTATCCAGACAGAAAGACTTAATATGAAAAAAATGTTTTATTGGTTTCAATTTTTACTTGTGCTGCAGCAGATCTTCCCCACCCAGACGACATATTAACAAGAATCCCTTGTTTTTTCTCAATCATAAGAGGAATGAAGTGATGTAACATATTTTCTACTCCTTTTAGATTAGTATCTATCACAGTTTTAAATTCCTCTTCTAGAACCTCCCACAGCTGTTTAAAAATGCAACAGGGATCGGTGTACTACAACTAGGGGTGTCAATTTATGACACGACACGACAAAAATACACGAAACGAAACGAAATCGGGACGAAATCAAAATTCGAATTCGTGTTCGTGTCGTTTTCGTGTCAAGATTAAAAGACACAATGTCGTGTTGTGTCGTGTTCGTGTTCATAAATCGACACGGAATTGACACGATTAAGCATGTGGTTGTCGTGTTTTTCGTGTTTGTCGTTTTTGTCGTGTTATATATATGTAAGTATGAACGAAATACACTAATAGTTATGTAATATTATCTTTGTCGTATCGTGTCGTGTTGCCGTGTTTTAATTGGTTCGTTTTCGTGTTAATGAAAAAAAACACGACATCGTGTCGTGTCGTGTTCGTGTTATACAAAAACTTGTCGTGTCGTGTCGTGTCAGACAAAAACACGACACGACTGCCCAATTTGACAGCCCTAACTACAACAGCCTCCAAGAGGATCACCAATAGCTGTTTAAAAATACAAAAATGAAAAATTATAGTCCAAAAAACATAACTTTATGAACACCGAGAGTTAGTAGAAGTAGAACTGACCTGCATCAAATCCTGCTGAAACTAGAATTATATCAGGTTTAAATTCTCTTGCAACATGGATTGATATATGGTCCCATGCTGCAATATAATCTGCATAACCACATTTTCCATCTCCCATGGAACATTTATATTGTACCCTTCACCTTCTCCCTCACCCTTCATATCATACGATCTATCATCACCACAAGGATAAAACATCCCAATCAACAATTAGTATCTTGTTAATACCTAATTCCTGCACGAATATAAACATCATGCAAACTAATTTGATAATTATTATGATAATGTCTTAAATAAACCTCATTTTTAAACCTCAGATATAGTATACTTAGCTAAAACTAAGCCTTCAGTTGTGCTTGCAGCCAAAAAAAAGAGATGATTTCGACTTCACAAAGTTGTAGCATCTGAAGAAAAAGGATTTAAAGCTATTAATGAAAAAAAATCCTTTAATAAAGTTAACATAAGATCGTGGTTTACAATAAGAACTTACAATAGATAAAATCTTTGAGTTTAGCCTAGAAACCACCACCATAAGATGAGAGTCTTTGCATTGAGGAAGTTTCATCTTGAACCAATCAAAGAACACCACCTTATTTGCGAAGATCCTGTAGAAGGATAGAATGAGTATTGTTATTAGAAAGCGGAAGATAGATACAATTAAAGATAAAAAAATGACACAATAAACAAGATAAAAAATGGAAGAAAATATTTCTTACTTTAGGCGAGTGGCACCAAATCTCTCTGCAAACAACTGGAGGTCAGCTACTGGGTCATCGTTAAAACTAGCAGCAGTGGCACGAGCACAAGCTGTATTCAAATCCTGCTTCACAGCTATCAGCCTTACATCAATTTCCCTCAAAAGCTCCTTCCTGTAAAAAAAGGAAACGAATAGTCAACTCAACAGTCAACACAGACTGCAACAAAACCAAAAAAAGATAGCACATTCAATAAAATTTAACTATACTTTATTGCATTAGCCCTAGTTGTTGTGCTTGATCTACCATCACCTATGTTACTCGATGGTTGATCAGATGATCCCTGAAATTAACATGAAACCTTTAGTTAAATGAACACCCTTAATTATATATGTATATGAACAATTATACATAGTTTAAAAATTAAAACCACATACATGTGAAATATATTTTACGAGCTGCTTCTAGTTGAGACATCTCAGCATCAAAGGTGATCACTAGTTCAACAATTTTAGGTGTACTTACAAAACAAACAAACCTAATGACAAAAGCTATAAATTATATGATTATATCCAAATTTCAAACGTATAAGCTTTAAATTTTGTATAACGACACTACCTCTCAAGTGTTCCCTTTGTGCACCATGAGTCCACATTTTTACGTTTATTTACTTCAAGCTTAATGAATTGAGCTGAGGATCCAACTTGTTCCTCCACAACCTTCAAATGTGTCAAAATTGGCTTCACTAAACCCGATGCAAGCTTTTCAGTGTTTCCAATACTGGAAACAATCAATTCACATCTGCACAAAAGGTGGATAAAAGGATTAAATGCAGTTAGACAAAATCATCAAAACAAATTGTACTATTAAGTATTAAAAATTGAAGTTACCTTGAATGTTTTGGTGAGAGTTGGAATGATGCGTAATCAAGAGGCATGTCCAATTCCATCTTTTTTTTAACATAGGATACAAGATATCAGTAAGTAGCCTCAAAGATCCCTAAAAAACAACGTGAATTATTTACGTTAAAAAGATTAAATGAATTGTTCATAGTTGGTTCGCCATTTTGTGTACTAAAGATCCTACTTTGCTAATCAAACCAAAATGTGAATCATTTGACCTAATAAAGACTAAAAACGCGATACACCTGAAATGAAAAGCTGCCTCATATCTGATTCTACACAGAAGAATCGAAATGCTCATCAATTGGTTGTTGAAGCAAAAATTTCCAAATTCACTTTTTTTGTGCTAAAATCATTTTTCTATGGAGAGTGATTTCAATCATATAAATCAAGTAATTCTCATAAACATTGATCATAAACTTTTTTAATTTCTTCATATACAACACAAAGGGAAGAACTCACATGGAGTCGTGTTTGGTAAATCGGATCTGATTAGCGAACCATGGGAAGGCAAGAAGTAGGCAATACGGAGAACATTGGTTAGAAGAGTAAGTCGATGACTGAGAATGAGTTGTAGTGGTGTTGTTGAGATGTGTCGAGATCATGATAAACATACCTTAATCAGCCCTAGGGCTTGGAAACTTGAGCAGTCGTTCCAGTCTCCAGTGAGGTGAGGTGAGCCTAAGGTCTCTGGTGGAAAGAGGTGAGTTGAGGTCGCTTGCAGGTGAGGAGAGTTGAGGTAGAGAACGTTGCAAAGAGCACTCCATGAAAAAAGCCCTAGATAATGGCCCCTGTGATTTTTTGATAAGATAAATAATCTGTTCAATGAAGACGAGGGTTGGAAGACGATGTTCAATGAAGTTTTCAATAGTGAGGGCGAGAACGTTCATCCAGAAAACCATACATGTGCATCCTCCTCATGAGAGCTTCGCCTTCGAAGATTCTTCATGGATCTTTGTCCTCAAGAGTTAGAAGCATTCTCACATCATTACGGATTTTGCTGAGTCGTTCCTTTTCAACTTTGCATCGTAGACTGTATTCTCTGACCAATTTCAACTTTGCATCGTAGTCGTTCCTTTTCATTTGATCATCGATAATTAGGGCAAGAGGGAAAGGAGAAAAAAGGAAGGCGGTGTTTTTAATTTTTTTAGGTTTTCATTTTCCCCCTAGTTATTAAGGGATGGAACGCGCGTTCCATTAAAATTTATAAAACGACATCCATAGACGACGCCTATTTTATAATAGGTGCCCTCCGTGTTTTTTTTTTTTTTTGGATTACACACTAATTTAAGGGCGCACAGTAATACGCGACCTAAATCATTAAACTTTTTGAATAGATGACACTTTTTTAATGTCACTCTCTTTTACGTAACGTAAATCAGTGAGTGTCGTGGTTTGCGCGTCGTAAAAGGCTATTTTTCTAGTAGTGATATACATATTAATCTTGTAATATTATATTAGTATATGGTTGAATTTTAAACT